GTGGGCAGTCACCCCTCCTGACTGAAAGTACCCCCCACACCAAAACCACACCAGCGCTCCCTCAAAGGGGCCCCCCCATCACCAACAGCATCTGCCACCCACAAGACTGATGCCCTACAGATCACTAAAGCTCTGCTAAGCATACCCAGATTGAAAAAAACAGAAACTTATTAAATAAAACTTTAATTAAAATGTAAATGAATACAAATACAACAAAATAGAGAGCACATACAAACTGTCAAGTGTCCACTCCTCTACCCCACAAGTACAAAGCAATAAATAAAAACAAAGTTGTAAAATGCCCCCTTAAAACTCCTCTCCCTCTCAAAAAAGTCCCAGAAAAGCAGGGGCATCCCTCTTCCAGTGGATGGACTGTGGAGGAAAGCACTGCTTCACTCAGGATGCAAATAATGGCTGTGATGCAGGGAAAGAAAGAAGACATGGGCAGGGGTTGCCCCATACTCCCAAACTCACTTTCCTTGCCTCCTCTTACAGGCTACAAAATCTCCCATGGGAAAGTTCCCCAAGACTTTTCTGTGCATACCTATGCACACAGTGCAGCTGAATATTCAGGGGTCTGGAGCGCTGCATCGGCAGTCCTCAAGCAAGGCACAGCTGGAGGGCAATTGGAAGAGACACAGCAGTTATCCCACATTACATACACTATTTCATGCTTTTTCCCTATTACCATATGCCCAAGTTCCCCCCACCCCTGACCCCTCAACGGCAGACTTACCACCCACTGCACTTCTGCTTCAGGCTCTGGTTTCCAACAATGCAGCAGATGCAGGGGGCAGGGCTGGGGTGGGAGCGGTAGAGGGAAGCAGGAATGTGAAAGGAGGTTCAGACAGAACTGTAGGGCCGGGGGGAACATTTGTGGTGGACAGTGCATGGTGGGAGCATCACCACTAGAATGGGATGAGGAAAGGATGCAAGGACACGCGGGATGAGAATGGGGGTAGGGGGGAAATGAGAGGATGGCAATGCTCGTGCCTCCTTGCTAGAGCTGAGTTCCTTCTGGATTCCCTGGAATCCATGGCTGCGGTGGCTAGATGTCTGCTGTGTGTATGCTTCTTGGCTGTTTGACCAAGAACTCCTGCTCTGAGTCTCTCAAAGGAGAATGTTAAAGTAGCCCAGTGAACTTTGGGGACCCATTAAACTCCTAGTAGGTGTTAACTGCTCAGAGCAGAACACACCCAAGAGGGCCCAGACTTCACCTCCCCTGTTGTTGCAAAGACTGACAGCTGACCAGCTGTCTGGACAGCAAGGGAACTTTGGGGAGGCATTAAACTCCTATTACGTGTTAATTGCTCGAAGCGGAACACACCCAACGGGACCAGAGCTCACCTCGCTTGTTGTTGCAAAGATTGACCACAAAAAATCCCTGTCCATGCATGGCACAACAGCAGGCTAAATAGTGAGGCTAACCAGTGACTGCTCCCAGGGGCCCCTGGCAGAAAGACTGACTGGCTACCCAGAAGCCCACCTGCCCCATCCCCAGTATGAGCCAGGCACAAGCTTTGGGTCTGGCTTGTGCCTCCAGTATGAGTCACCAAGGTGAACCAGGAAAAGTGTCCACCCTCCTGAAACTGCAGGTTGGCTTTGGGGAGCAGGGGGCTGCACACTGAGGAAAAAAAATTGTAATGCCTGCATGCACTATCCTGAGACTGAGAGCCTGCTTACTGCTTTTAATGACAAAGAAAACCAGGCTTGGCAGCCCATATAAAGCCGGCCATTGGTTTTAACCTCAGACCCCAGACTAGGGGAACAGGATACACATTTTGCTGGCAAAGGTCATTTTTATTCCATAGAGTAGTTTCTATAATTGTGCTGAGGGGAACAAGGTACACCACGCACCACATTATCCCCAATAATGGAGAAGGGAGCATGTACAGCGGACACTTGTCAATCTCCAAATGAGCCTGGGATGACCCCGATCTGCAACACCCCAACACACCCTGGGGACCTTGGGACCTTTGGACACCCACCACATGAAGTGAAATAGGAGACAACAACCACAGATCAGTGTCTTTGAATTCTTTATTTAATAAAGTAAGGTCAGCGAAGGATTGATTCATGTCAGGCTCTGCAGCTACACCTGGTGTCCTAAAACATTCATTACACACAAATACATGCAAAAAGGGGGCTCACTACACAAAAACTGTAGTGATATCCAGTAGTCAAGGGGGCTCATTGCATGTCATTCAGTGAATTGCCATGTACATGTGACAGATTAATGGCTGCAATGTTGCAAGTTGCAACATTGCACGCTAAACTACATTGGGATATAATTTAGTTTGTAACATTATGAACTCATTTAAAACCCCCGAAACTTGCATACATTTAAAATCTGATGTCATTAAGCCACATAAAGGGAAATTTTCATCATGTGTACATCATCTTGTGTACGAACGCTCATAGAGCCGTGCCAGGGGCCCCGCAATAACCCCAGCTAGCTCCCTCAACACCCTGGGGTGGAGATCATCCGGACTCGCGTTCAAGTCAGCGGGTTGTGGTGCTTGGGCCAGGTGCCAGATGATTGGAAGGTAGCAAATGTGGTCCCCATCTTCAAGAAGGGGGAGAGGGAGGACCCGGGAAACTATAGGCCC